TGCAATTTCTTCAATGGTAAAATAACAGATTTGGTTCTTGACTTCTGGATTCTGCACAAGTTGATCCTCAAGTCTCTGATCTCTTCAATTTACTTCTAAAAAGTAAGATTTCTTCTAATTAAATCCTTTTCTACACAAAGAATGAAAATCATGTAAAATCATGTAAAATCAAACAAAATTCCATAAAACTCATCCAAATATCAATAATATCAAAGTAAAAATTTCCTATTAATATGTATATAAATTTAGCTCATCAGGTTCTAGCTAGGTTCCACAAAAACCAAGTCGTTGGGTTTCGTTGAACCCAATTGATCTGGGTTCCACAAAACCCAGTTGTTGGGTTATGATGGAACCCAGCAACCTAGGTTTTGTCAAACCTAGCCAATCTAGGTTCCACAAACCCAACTACCTAAAATAAAGCAAAAGCACTAATGAGATAAAAAGCAACTCAACATTTAATCATGTTCTTTGTATCTCTTATCTCCAATCATGTTTTTTACCTTACACCAAACCCAAGTTGTTGGGTTCCACCGGAACCCAACAATTGGATTTTGTGGAACCCAAATCGGCTGGGTTCAACGAAACCCAAATACCTGGGTTCTATAGAACTCAGCTAGGTTCCACGAAACCCAAATCGCTAGGTTTTGTCGAAGCCAGCAGCTGGGTTCGATGGAACCTAGTTGATCTAGGTTCCACCAACTGAAACCAACAAAGGTAGGAAAGAAAAATAGAAAGAGAAAGAGAGAAGAGGAAGAAGATGGATCGAGAAGACTAGGGGGTAATAATGTAATTTTATTTTTATTAAAATATAAATATTAATTTGACGTGTTACTTTATCCATGTAAAATAGATATGTTATTGCCACGTCATAAAAAAAAATGCCATATGGAAATATTTAATGGCCACATCACACTTAACTAACGGAGGGATTAAAATTGTACAATTTCTAAACTTGAGGGATCAAAAAAGTAAAAAAATAGTTTAGAGACCAAAAAAGTGCAAACCAATAAAGTTGAGGGACCAAAATTAGCATTTAACCTAACAAAAATATTAAGTGTATTTTTGCTTGAAGAAAGAATGGACAAAAGCATTTTAAAGTTAAAAAAATGTGTGGTTAGAGTTTCAAATAACTAGTTTAGTATAAACTAACATAAAAAATGAAATTTTTTTTTTAAATTTAAGGATAATTAGTGTGCGTATATATATTTGATATAGAAACCTGAATTTCATGCATGGAAAAATCAAATAGCTTAATTTTTCCATGTGTGGTTAATGTTCATATATTAGCACAAATTAAAGAAGTTGGAGATTGAATCTAAAACAATTTGGAGTACAGTTTTGGAATAGGAGAAAATAGGTTACATTGTAGATGATTCTTTGAAAATATCTTAAGCTAAATAACCAAACCGCATACTATGTTTAGTCTGAAAATTCAAAAGTGAAAGGAAAGAA